GCTACGCTATAGCTTTGTCCTCCACAAGTTGTCAACATAATTACTTCTTTCAGAAATATACCATAGTTAAGTACTTTGCAAAACTTCTGTTGAACAGTGTTGTAATACAGATAACTTTTAGTAAATAATTTGTTTGTATGAACTAAATTATAAAATAATTATTTTTGATCTCAATCGCTTTCTCTTTGTACAAAATAAATATTTATGTATAACAAATAAAATACGTACTTAAAAAAGATGAAAATTATGTAACAAAATTGGGTGGGCTTTAGTATTCAGCCGCACCTTTTGTTCTAAGAAAACCAGGTGAAATTAACAAACTAAACTTGATCAGGATGTTAAGGAAGGTATCCTCTAAAACATGTATAACTAAAAAATATAAACCATATAACTTTTTATAAGTTATTTGTTGTTAAAATTTTCTTAATTCATTCCACTTGATTTCCTTATCAAAGAGTGCTTTTGTCACATACTTTCATATATATTAATGCACATAACACTCTACCTAATAGTTTACACACTTTTATCTTGCATATAAATCACTTTAATGCAACTTTTATTAACTTGTAAACTAAATTAAATTGCACCCATATTTATAATAACACATGGTTGCAAACTGACATATAAGATGTGTTGCCATACTGTTCAAAATAATACAAGACAAAGGAGAATTCTACGTAGTGAGGGTTATAATCCCTAAGTGCGGCCGAAGGCCGCCTACGCAGAAAGGTGTTCCCTGCAAAAGGTGTTCAGCCCCCCTTCTTCGGCAACACAGAAAGGAGAATTGTACTTAGTGAGAGTTATAATCCCTAAGTGCGGCCGAAGGCCGCCTACGCAGAAATGTGTTCTCTGCAAAAGGTGTTCAGCCTCTCTTCTTTGGCAACACAGAAAGGAAAATTCTACGTAGTGAGGGTTATAATCCCTAAGTGCGGTCGAAGGCCGCCTACGCAGAAAGGTGTTCTCTGCAAAAGGTTTTCAGCCCCCGTTCTTTGTCAACACAGAAAGGAGAATTCTACTTAGTGAGAGTTATAATCCCTAAGTGCGGCCGAAGGCCGCCTACGCAGAAAGGTGTTCTCTGCAAAAGGTGTTCAGCCCCTCTTCTTCGGCAACACAGAAAGGAGGATTCTACTAAGTGAAAATTCCGAATTAAAAATCCGCTTTTAATATTCAAAATTCCTGTCTGGCAGCACCAAGTTTGATGTTATTTTGCTATCTTATTCATCGTTTATACGAAAACTTTAACAACAAATTATATAAAAACTGTTTTAAAACTTATAGTTTTTCTTAAAAAAAAGGCGAACTAAAATCAAAAATAATTGTCACATAAGTTATTTTGACAAAAATTCATAGATATGTGATAGTATTTTTTATACAACCAATTCTTATAGTTACAAATATCGATATAAGTAGGTATCGATACTTTTAGCCCGATACTTAGTAGGTATCGATACTTTCTTTCTTTCTTTCCAAGTTCAGGTATCGTTTTATCCCTAATTACAGCAGATGGCATTAGTTAAACTTTACTACAGAGAAATTACACAGAATTTTCTGTAGGTAAGTTTAACTATTGATTTAACTATACTCTAAAATAGATAAGTTAACGGCCCTTAATGAATTTTTTATTTAATACATGGTGTGACAAAACAAAAAAAAAATTAATATATTTAGCATAAATGAATATACCAGCATAAAAAATCTGCATACTCAAAATTCAATACGTCCTCGTATTTATACATACATAGTATGTATATAATTTAAGAGAAGATATTTCGCTGCAAAGCAACGATTATAAATTGTTAGTTTACTACTACTAAGTACTATGATTTGAGGGTATGCACCTGGAATATCCGAACCCTTAATCGGGAAGGTGCCTCTGCCCGGCCGGTTGATGTCCTAGAGAAAATAAAGGCTGACGTCACCGCCATACATGAAATGCGATGGACGGGGCGAGATGGTAAGCGTGGAGCCTTGCGACGTCTACTATAGTTGCCACGTAAAGGAGCGCAATTCGGTGTTGGATTTGTGGTGAGGGAGAGGCCGGCGTTCACTATAGTGGACGAACGTCTAGCCACAATCCGCATCAAAGCGAGATTCTTCAACATCTCGCTCATATATGCTAATGCCCCGATGGAAGAGAAGGGCGAGGCATCCAAGGATCTCTTAGCTTAGAGCGTACATATTAGCGCTACCCCGACATGTATAAAAATCGTGCTTGGCGATTTAAATGTCAAGGTGGGCAACGAAGGGATCTTTGGCGCCAGTGTCGGAAAATGCAGCCGCCACATAAAAACGGCGGGCTGAGGCTGATCGATTTCGCCTGGGCCCGAAATTTGGCAGTATGTAGTACTGGATTTCAGCATAAAATGATCCATCAAGCTACATGGTTGTCTCCAGATCGAAAAACGGGAAACCAAATCGAGCATATTGTGATAGACGGAAGGCATGCTTCCAGTGTTTTAGATGTACATACGCACACTCCGAGGGCCAACCATCTCACCACTAGATTGATGCAGCCAATATACGACCCCACCTCGGTGCAGCAAAAAAAGGGCCCCCAACAATGCAAGGAAAGTTCAACGTCGAAAAGCTGCAATCAAAAAGACGGCCAATGGATTCGCAGCTCGACTCTCACACCTGCTGTGAGAGAACACTCTTCAACAAACTGACATACGCGAGCAGAGCAACCACATTTCCCGCTCATTACTGGTACGATAAGAAGTGTCAGGAAAGCTGCAGAGAAAAATGCTTGAAATGCTGGCCGACAAAAAAAAACACCCGAAATTTTTAGCAGAGAGTTGAGCGACTTACGGAAGGTTTCAAGATTCCTGTAGGAACAACCATGACGACCTAGTGGCCGATGTCCAGAACGTACTCAAATTATGGAGGGAACACTTTTGAATGGCATAAGCATTGAGAGAAGTGGAGAAGACGAACCCGATTCCCAATCGATGACGATGAAGTCGATATCCCAGCGCCTGACTATGACGAGGTACGAATAGCAGTTATGCTGATGAAAAGTAACAAAGCTGATTGAGCTGACGGTCTGTCAGCTGAGCTATTCAATTACGATGGCAAAAAGCTAACATGGTGCATGCCTGACTAAAATTCAAGTGCTCTCTGCCCAACCCACAAGAAAGGCGACCCCGCCATGCGTGCCAACTACCGCGGGATCAGCCTTCTAAGCATAGGTTGCAAGGTCTTGTCGAATGTATTGTATGAAAGACTGAATACCACCGTCAATGAACTGATTGGGCATTATCAGTGTGGCTTTAGACCTGGCGAATCCACCATAGACCAGGTATTCACAATACGTCAAATCTTGGAAAAGACCCGCGAGAAAATAATTGACACTCATCACCTTTTTGACTTCGACTTTATAGCCGCCTTCGGCAGCACTAAAAGGAGTTGCCTATACGCCGCTATGTCTGAATTTTGGCATCCCCTCAGAACTCATACGGCTGTGTAAAATGACGCTGAGCAATACCACCAGCTCGGTCAGAATTGGGAAGGCCCTCCCCGAGCCGTTCGCCACGAAACGGGGTTTCAGACAGGACGTTTCCCGGGAGGGGAACGGTACATAACGGTAGGAAATTTAGTTTGGGTTAAACACTCACAGTGACGGGGTTAGGCTTTCGATGCTTCCTCCTCGTAAAATAAACATGCGGAGTATAAAGTTAAATATTTAAATCGACGAATAGTTTTATATAAACTTTTGTGAACTTCTGTTTATGTGTTTTTGTACAACATATTTATCTCTATCGGTTACAATAATTTTAAGCTATAATAAAAAATTTTTTAGTACACTGAGAAAAGGATTAGTTTCGACAACTAAAGATATCTAGTTCCCGAATTTTGACAATATTTGGGAGCTGTGACTAAGGATTGGGAACTATTACCATGGGTTGGTAATCATAACTAAATATATTAAAGCTTCTTATATTCATCAAGGTTGTACCAAATCGTTAATGTAGTTGAAGGGTTTGGTATATACTAATAAATACTTTTTTGAAGCATATTTCTACAAATTCCAGTCAACTTAACGTATGCTTCATAAAAGGATGTCATTAAGCTCTGCTAATACAGATAAGCTTTCTTTCAACACATGGTTTAGTCATAGTTACCAAATCTTAGTTGAGGCAAACGCGATTTGGTTTGAGAGCGGAACATATTCATGCTTGTGAGCCACCCCTAAATCTCAGTATATCCAGTAAAAAAACTGTGGTGAAGTCCTTTATGGGGATAAAGTTTCCAGAGATGAAATTTTAGGTAGCACACAATTTCTTACACGCATGGTTGCTTTTCAGCACTCATGAAAGAAACTTAAGAAATATTTGAAAAAAAGTTCATATAGTACATTAATTTTTGAAAGAAATACCATATAATGTATGTACTCTGGTTAATAATATCAAGAAATGTATTAGAACCACCGTTTAATGTTATATTTGATACCAATTAATATTGCTGCCCCGAACGCTCTGCGCCTTGCCCCTGAATAATAGTTCACTTAAAATTACATCCCTGGTCCTTGTTCTTTCTGTATCGCATCGTGGTGAATTCACATTTCTCAGAAATTTGACAACAAAACAAAACAAAGCGAGTATTTTATTTGCTAATTTTTGCGATCTCTATTGTTTAATGTAAATTTATGTCTTTTTAGGATATCGTCGTCTCAGAAAACGGTTGACGAATGTGCAAAATCACGATTTTGGGATTTTGATGCAGATTTACTAAGTTGGACATGCTCTTTCGATTTCTGCAATCCATTTTTTTATATCTCCATTAGTTTTTGAGATATTTCGTGCGCATTTTGTCGTATGTTACATAATATTAATGATTGGGTATGCCTTTTGTTGTATGTGCTGAAAATGCGTCACATACGACAAATTCCCATACAAACGTACCTTTTTTTTAAATCATAAAACGTTTGTCGTATGTGGCACATACGACAAATTCCCATACAAATGAATGTTTGCAATTTTGAATAAACTTAATTTATTTTTTCTAATTTTTACACAAAGTTTGAAAGTGAAATTTATATGGTTTTGGTTAGATAATGAGCTTTACTTTTCTCTATGAATTGTCTATGAAAAACACTGCGACTGTTGTAAAAAGACCACTGTACAAAGGTGACTCACTGTAAATAAATTAATTGACTATTAAAAATTTAAATTTTAAATTGATTATAAGATTAACTTTCTGCCTCTTCTTCGCGCTGTAACGCCATCACGACCGCTGTCACTCGCTCCATTGCTAGACTTTGTTTTACAGAACTCATTTTGGCAATTGTAGCCTCAATCATTTTAGTAAACGAGTGCACCGCCTCATTACCACTGCTCTCCTTCTCCTCTATGGCTTTACAAGCCTTTTTAAAATGCTCCGCTGATTCCAGAAACACCGCATCTAGATCAACTTCGCTTGCAGCTGTAATATTTCTTGTGCGCTTGCGAGATGTCTGTGCAGTGCGCGATGATGAGGGCGCTTGCGAGTTGCTTGATGTTTGCTGAAGCGATGTTGGCAGTGGCGACGTCAGCTGCGATGCCAATGGCAACGGCTGCTGTGGCGATGTTGGCAGTGGTGAAATCAGTGGCGATGCTAATGACAGCTGCGGTGATGGCGATGGCAACGTCGAAAATATCTGTAAAGGAGGCGATGTAGATGGTAGGGATATGAACAGCTCCGAGCTCGGCTGTGAGGATGATGCTAACGGCGTGTGCAATGGAGAAGTAAACAGTTGGGAGGAGTTACTGGCCTGATGTGGAGATGCTGGTGGAAGTTGTAATGCCTCCAGAATGTTTTTAGAAGTTCGGCACCTACAACAAAATTATTTGCAATAAATATAGTTACATATTTTAACTACTACAACAATTTCAACATGGCCAACTTACGGACGCGGTATTACAGAATTTCGCAAAAAGCAAAGGGATTCCATCAATGACCAAGCTTTTTCCCTGTGTGCCTCACTTCCTGACGGTGCGTTTTGCCGACG